CCCTGCACTTCATCTAGGCCAAGTCTCAAGGGCCCCATGCTAGTTTTAGATAAGGAGTGAAGGCTCTTGATGCTCCAAATGTTCCCCCACTCCATAACCAGCACAGATGCCTTCCAGATTAGGCTACTGTGTCGTATTGATGGGCTTTTCAGCCCCTCAATGTGCATATCATATGAGGAGAATTGAGGTCAGTTTGGTACCATGCACATTGGGTTTAACAGAGCCAATGGAAACCACAATAAAGTAGGCAGTAAAGATGGCCTTACTGACTGCCTTTCCAAGCTCCATTCCTCACTGCCTACCACTGGTGGAATGAAACTCAAGTGGTGGAGTTGATTAATTCAGAGGAATTTCAGCTCATCAGGTGCATTGCAGGGCCCTGCAGTTGTAGCTGGGGTTAACCCTCCTTTGGCCAGCTCTGTCATATCCATACATACCCAACCCCGATCTGACTCCCAGACCCCATCTTCATCACATCTGGAGTCCTACCCTATGTCAGAGACCAGGTCGAGACGAAGGGATGTCTCCATGGTGGAGGGCTTCAGCCTCAGTGACTTATGCCAGGAGCGCTGTAGGCGGGATAATCGCCCACGCACAGACTCGGCTCGGATACCCACTTCCACGATCAGAAAACAACTTTCATTCACGCGACGACTCGGTACAAATTTGGTATCCAAAAATAGTCCTAATTCGTACGATTCTGACGATACCAAGAACGTCCCAATCGGTGGAGATTTGACGGAGTTCCGTGTTGGAGAAGTTAGGCACAGCAGGTCACGGGCATGTGCGGGCGTGGGAATCTCAAGCGGCAACCCAGAATTCCAGCCTCACTCGTTCCCACGGCGTCTAATAAATTGGTAAAAATGCTTATTGGCTGTGTGAGAGTTATCTCCGGCTACATTTCCAATTTAGGCTCTTAATTCCGCAAATCCATTGAGAAATCGCTTATTTTCATATATTTTCATATTTTGCCATCATTTCAGTTATTGATCATTATTCTTTTATTGTTACTGTTACCCTTTTTTATTACTTTTGCCTAATAAGGTATGCAGGTGCCATATGGTACCAATATTTCTCATCAATTATTCTAAAAATAATTGTTCCTTATATCCTGTACATACCGGATTTTGGAATAGAAGTTCTCCCCTCCCCCATTTTCTCTAAGGTGCTAGGACGCGCTAGAGAGGGTGTGAGTGTGTGGAATTCCAACAGTAGGAATAAGGGCAGTGATCTAGCTCACAACGAGTGAGTAGTGGACACTGAGCCCGGACCTTGCGGAAATCCCGGAGAACCCACCACGGAGTTTTAGGATCGAGAGCATAGCGAGTTTAGTAAAGAAAGTAGGATTTGGAGAGTTTGGCCCCCACGAGCTTAGTCGGCATAGAGAGCCGCGAGCCCTCTTGCATTTCTGGTGGTCCTTACAGGGGGTCACTCTCGTTTTTACGGACGTTTCATCAAGTTTTCACGCATCGTTGGAGTTTATCAAGTCTCAGTTGGATCTTACGGACGCTGGACTTGGAGTTATCAGTTCACACAAAGGAGTTTTACGGAAGTTCGAGAAGGATTTTCATTGCGCGAGTTTAGAGAAAGGGTACATTGGGTATCTACATGGCACACCTCGTTGAGCCATTTGGTTTCCAAGCCGAGGAGCACGGTCCTCAGCACGAGTATGATGAGGTAGAAGGAGAGTACGAGAACGGAGAAGAGGGAGTCCTGGAGAATGATGGTGGCGAAGCACCGGAGTTGGATGGGATTCAGCAGGATGTGGCTGGAGTCGCGGCCGCAACTGTTCACACAACAGTTACGCGCATGCCAGGGCCACGGAGTAGAGAAGCGCCGAGGTTTAGAGGAAAGAAGGTGAAGAAGTTTCTGTACGAGTTCGAGTTGCAGGCACGGAGTGCGCGGCTATCGAATGTGCAGAAGTGTGAATATGTCGTTTCATACTGCACGGAGCGGGAGGCGAAGTTTATCAGGACACTCACCTCGTTTAAGACTAAGCTTTGGAGTCAGCTCAAGTCGGAGTTACTGAACTTCTACCCTGCAGAGCACGAAGATCGAGTATATCGGACGCGAGATCTTAGGAAGTTCGTCAAGAAAGATCGCAAGATTAGACGCCGATCCCAGTTCGACGATTATCGGCGGAAGTTTCAGGTAATGGCCTCTTCACTTGAGGAGAGAGGAGTTCTTCACTCTGTGGAGCGCGACGATTGCTTCTTCAGAGGGATAAAGCCAAAGAGTTTTAGAAAGCTAATCAAGCGCGAGTTGAAGTCGCAGAGTAGATGGACGGACCTTACGAAGCCTCCATCGATGAGCCAAGTTGTTGCGACGGCAAAGCACTTGTTGAAGCATGACTTGTATCGTGACGACGATTCGGATGTTGATTCGGATAGTGATGATGACGGATCGGATAGTGATTCGGAGTCGAGTTCAGGCAGTAGTGACGAGAGTTCAGATGCGGAGTCGACGGATGACGAGAGTACGAGGCGCACGGTTCGGAAGCGCCAAGAAGTTAAGGTTGCGAAGAAGGTACCGGCGAAGAGAGACCAGAAGAAGTCGCCAGTGACGGCAGAGACGTCGAAGTCTGCGGATAAGAGACTAGAGCCACCAGCAGCAGCTCCCAGAGTTGAGCCGGACGCAGGTTTCAAGTCCAACATGGACGATCTGGCGGATAGGATTAGCAAGCTGACGATTCAACTTGCTAGAGTGCACGATAGACCCAGAGTCGGACCTCAGGTGTCCACGGGTGGAACGTTGAGATGTTACATGTGTGAGGACGAGGGGCACGGAGTTAAGGATTGCCCCGAGACGAGAGCATTCCTAGCGGCGGGCGTGTTGAAGCTCGATGCCACCAATAGATTGGTTATGGCAGATGGCAGTAGGCTACCCCATGCTTTTGGAGAAGAGAAGTTAGCGCGATTGATAAGACAGAAAGCCGCGATGCGCACCACAGCCAATCTAGAATGGATGCGAAAGTCTGAGACGGCGATTCACGAGTTTGGAGGGTTAGGAGATGCTGTGTACGAAGTGTTTCCAGCCGAGAGAACGGAGAAAGAGAAGGGGAGGTCGTCGAGATCGAAGCCATATGAGCGGCCGAAGAGTCCTCAGCCACCCCCACCCCAAGTTAGAACGATGCCGCAAGATGAGTTGAGAAAGAACGCAGCGCCACCGAGTCGGGCGTATGTTGAACTGCCGGCTAAGCCACCGGTGATTCTTAAGAGACCGTCTCCAGAGCCAAGTGGTCCATCGAGAATGGATGTAGATCGAGAAGAGCCAGCCTTGCGAGACAAGGGGAAGCAGAGGGCGGACCCTCAGGTCGCGCCGAACCCGAGAGCAGTTCCCAGCTCGAGTAAGATTAAGAAGTTTCCTGAGAACGTTGAAGTGCGGGACCCGAAGCGGGCGAGTTTTAGACAGAAGTCGTATCGATTTGCGTCAGAGTTGCAAGATCGCGTTAAGAACGACGACTTGTTCGAGCGTTTGATGGACCAGAATGTCACTATTCCGCTGGGAATGATTTTCGGGACTTCTTACGAGCTCAACAAACGTTTGACTGCTGCAACGAAAATACATAGAATTCCTACGAGACAGACTAACGTGGTAGAGTACATGACGGACGAAGGAGAAGACGAAGACGAAGTGGAAGTGAAAGCGATGAACACAGAGGTTTCATCGATTTCGAAAGAGGTAGCCAACCTCGACGCGGAAGTTAAGTATGACGACGATCGGGCCAAGTATACTTCGGCCCAGAGTGATCCAGCTAGTAAGACGGAACGGACGGACGGATTCGCTATCTGTGTCAACGTGGATGCAGAGATCGCGTCAGCAGATCGAGTAACGCCGAAAGTTTTGGGATTAGGAAGTGATAAGAGACTTACGCGGACGTTTGAGCGCGGTAGTCGAGTGAGGCCCCGAGTGCGAGAGCCCCAGCTTAAAGAGCTCAGGCCTCCAGGCCTTCGTCGTAGTTCATGTGCGATGAGCACCAAGTCGACGATTGACTCAGAGATTAGAGAAGACGTTGTTATCCCAAGTATGGATTCGAGTTTTGACGACGGACGGGCATCGATTGACGACCTAGATGGACACGAGAGTCAAGTTAGTAACGGGTCGTTGGAACGGATGAGCAGAAACGAAGAGTTTGACTGCGTACGAGAACGACGTGACACGGAGTCACTGGCCAGCGGACATGGAGTTAGATTTGGAGAGAGCGCGATCGTCCCTGCGCCAGAGTCCCCAGTCGATTTGATTGTCGATATGACGGATCTAGACGAAGTTCACGAGAGTCAGATCAGAGCGCATGACGGAAGTAACGAAATACCGTTTAAGTTTGACGACGAGTCGAGTACGATAAGCAGCGGCCATGTTGGCACCTCAGAACGAGTTCAGTTTGACACGACGGAGTGCGACGAGAGTTTGTCAGATGTGATGGCAGCAGATGTGCCCAGATCGCGCGAGTTTGGTGCGATCGAGTCTGGCATACCAGAGTGTTTGCCTCAGGCGAAAGTTGAGCGAGCGATTCATGTTCAGACGGAGACGGTAGAACGAGAGACAGATTCAAAAGAGCTTAGGCCTCCCAGCCTTCGCCCTAGCATAGTCGAAATGCATGTCGAGTGCGCGGACAGTTCAGAGTTTAGCGATTCAGGATGCAGCGAGGAGGACGTCGAGTTTAGAGAGCTAAGGCCTCTCAGCCCTTGCTCTACTGTGGTTGAGGAGTCTCTCAGCTTCAGTCCTAGCGAGTATTTGTATCAGACAGTTGACGACGACGAGGTTAGAGAAGAGGTTAGAGCGCGAGTGTCTCAGTCGAAAGATCCTCCGGCGATGCGGAGTGATTTGTGGAAGATGTACGGCCCCTGTGGCTACTTCATGCCCTGGAACTCATTCCCAATTGTCGTGGATCCAGCGCAGAGAAATTCAGAGCAGTTGTTAGGATGTGATCTAGAGATCGAAGCGCCCACGGAGTCTGAGTTAAGCGCAGCGCAGCCACCAATTCAGAGTGGCGGCAACGTGATCGAACCCGTTGAGCAAGACCTTACGCGATCTATAGAGACAGTTTTAGACGAGAACGAGAGTACAAAGACGCGCAGTTTTTCGTTTGAGTGCAGCATGGTACAGAGGAGTTACCCCAAGTACGCAGGAAGAGAGAATGGCGCGAAAGTCTTTGAGCCAGACAGGAAGTTTGCGACGCAGCGGAGATTGGAGCACCAGAGAGGAAGTCGAGGATCAGGAGGACTGTCGGGTCCACCCCATCTTCAACCTCCTGCACCTGGGCGACATTCGCCTCCAAGAATCGTAGCCACGGAGCCCAAGTTAGATTGTGAGACGGCTCAGAAAGTCGAGAACTACGCAGCGGAAGTGATCAAGTTGAGACGAGAGTTAGAAGCGGAGAGGCGAAGGAATGCCACACCCCCGTTAGTCCAGGGCACCATCACCCTCTCAGAGAAGTCGAAAGGAAGAACGCCGGAAGTTGACGCAAGTAGGCGAACAGACAAGAGGACGCAGATGAACGAAGTCAGAGACGAAAGTAGCGCAGTTGCGTTGGCACGAGTGCATCAGTCAAAGGATCCTCCAGCCGAGGACAGTGCCTCGAGGATTACGGACGGTGTTATTCATGAAGTTTCCGAGTACTGCAGCGGTTTTGGACGAGTAGAGCGTGAGCATGAGTTTAAAGAGCTAAGGCCTCCTGGCCTTGAGCTTAGTCGAGTTCCGTGCGACAGGTTTAGTGAGACGTGGACGGACGATAGCAAAGAACGAGTGGCAGGAGTAGCCCAGCCTAAAGACCCTCCTAGCGTGCGGAGTAGTCTTTACATGCAGTACGAGAGCAGTGGTGGATACAAGTTCGAAGAGTTGAGACCTCCCGACCCATATCTTACTTCAGACGAGAAGGGCGGTGTGAGGCAGGCGAGTTCGAGTCTCGATGTGTGGGTGGACTTGGCGAGAGGACAGTTCCATCGAGAGAGATCGGCGACGAGAGAGACGGAGATGCAGGAAGGAAAGGTCGCAGGAAGAGACGAGGTGAGGCCTTTGGTGGCCGGAACCTCGGGGTCTGCGCGAGGGAAGTTGTCCTTTGAGGTTGACCTGATGATGAGTGGCGAGGCAGATAGATCGGCCTCAGGTGGAAGGAAGTCCACAAAGACTAGGACTTAGTGAAGGAAGTCATGACCATGTACGATAGGACGAGGACGGAAATTTTGTTTGGAAATATTTATGCGGGGACGGAAGACATTTACGTTTAAATTGTCGAGGCTCGCAGGACGAGTAGTTCATTCTCAGGGGACCTCATGCGCATTGTGAGGGACCACAATAAGAGCTAGGCCTGTATGTAGGCGGGATAATCGCCCACGCACAGACTCGGCTCGGATACCCACTTCCACGATCAGAAAACAACTTTCATTCACGCGACGACTCGGTACAAATTTGGTATCCAAAAATAGTCCTAATTCGTACGATTCTGACGATACCAAGAACGTCCCAATCGGTGGAGATTTGACGGAGTTCCGTGTTGGAGAAGTTAGGCACAGCAGGTCACGGGCATGTGCGGGCGTGGGAATCTCAAGCGGCAACCCAGAATTCCAGCCTCACTCGTTCCCACGGCGTCTAATAAATTGGTAAAAATGCTTATTGGCTGTGTGAGAGTTATCTCCGGCTACATTTCCAATTTAGGCTCTTAATTCCGCAAATCCATTGAGAAATCGCTTATTTTCATATATTTTCATATTTTGCCATCATTTCAGTTATTGATCATTATTCTTTTATTGTTACTGTTACCCTTTTTTATTACTTTTGCCTAATAAGGTATGCAGGTGCCATATGGTACCAATATTTCTCATCAATTATTCTAAAAATAATTGTTCCTTATATCCTGTACATACCGGATTTTGGAATAGAAGTTCTCCCCTCCCCCATTTTCTCTAAGGTGCTAGGACGCGCTAGAGAGGGTGTGAGTGTGTGGAATTCCAACAGTAGGAATAAGGGCAGTGATCTAGCTCACAACGAGTGAGTAGTGGACACTGAGCCCGGACCTTGCGGAAATCCCGGAGAACCCACCACGGAGTTTTAGGATCGAGAGCATAGCGAGTTTAGTAAAGAAAGTAGGATTTGGAGAGTTTGGCCCCCACGAGCTTAGTCGGCATAGAGAGCCGCGAGCCCTCTTGCAGCGCTGTGCCAAGTAACATGTCCATGCCCTAACTTACTAACTGGCAACCAGAACTGAAGGGGGGTAAATGTCATGACCCAACATCCGCCTGCCTTTCCGCTAACCCCGTGAACCGACTCGTCGGTAATATTCAGTCGGCTAATGTTTAAACCCTGTTAGCTCCGCTCCATTCGGCTCTGCCAATTGCGGAACCGTCTCCGCTGTAACCATATATATATCCCACTTGTACATAGGTTACGCCCCAGTAGAAAAATCAACTAGAGTTACCCCCCCTAGGTTCTAATTGCCAGTCAGTAAGTTAGGGCACGGACATGTCACTAGGCACAGCGCTCTTGGCAGAAGTCGCTGAGGCCGAAGCCCTCCGTTACGGAGACATTCCCTCGTCTCGAATCTGGTCTCTGACAATCGACAGATATGATGCCATCTTTGGCACCCCCTGGTTAAACAAAAACCAGGTAAGCTTAGACTTCCGGTCCCACACAGTGAGAACGGTGAACAAGGGCAACATAGACACCCTTGGAATAAGCAAAGACCATGTGACAAGATCACATGGATGGAAAACTCGAGCAAGAGCTCGAGAACAACCAAAAAAGAAGCCCCCCTGACAGGGAGGTGGGATTGAAACACACCTCAGGGTAATCAAAAGAAAGTACCCTGAAGGTTGGCCCAATCCTAGTCCGGAAGGACTAGAACTTCCAGACGTACCACATCTGGAAGGCCTCTCCATGAACAACCCCAAGTTTGAAATACTCAGGGAGTGGTGGAGAGAGAAATTTGAAACCATAATGGCTCCAGCGCCATTAGAAATGCCTCCCTTGAGGGAAGTGAACGATCGAATCCTGTTGAAGGATCCGAACAAGAAATTTTGGGAAAACACCCCGAGATGTCCTGCAGCACTGCAGGAAGCACTAGCGACCAAAATAGATCACTATGTAAAAGCAGGATGGTGGTATCCCGCGAATAGTGAGCAAGCATGCCCGCTACTGTGTATCTGCAAAGCAGATGGATCTTTGCACACGGTAATAGATGCGAGGAATTGTAACTCAAACACGATCCTCAACGTCACACCAATGCCAGACATGCGACTGATCCAAGAATCAGTTGCCAGAGCAACATACCGATCCAAAATCAATATGTCGGATGCGTACAAACAAATATGCGTGGATCCAGACGACGTCCAGAGGATGACATTTTCATGTACAACTCGAACACGATGCAGCAAGGAGACTGCAACACTCCCTGCACCTTCCAGCGTGCACTGACCTGGGAACTACGAGGAGAAGTAGGCAGACGCCTACATGTCTGGTTCGACGATATATTCACCAGCACAAGCTCGGTGGAAAACCACAATAAAGCATTATTGTGGTTGTTCACTCGCCTGAAGGGGGTGAAATTCTACATAAGCTGGAAAAAATTCCAGCCATTTGCCCCAATCTTAGACATTCTAGGAAGCCGTGTGGACGAACAGGGCATCCATGCTCAAGCAGATAAAATGGAAAAAATCCGCAACTGGCGAGAGCCAGTAGACCACACAGGAGTCCTAAGATTCCTGGGAATGGTAGAATATTTATCGATATTCATGCCAAACATCAGTGGCTACACAGGACCAGTGCAAACAATCTGCTCAAACAAGCAGACATTCAGGTGGACACCACTCCACCAGAAATGCTTCGACGAGATTAAACGTCTAGCATGCAGGCCTCCGATCCTGAAGCCAGTCCAGTGGAATCCACTGGAAAGCCTCTCAGAAGAAGAGAGGACCAAACTCCACGTCTGGGTCATAACAGACGCATGCCCAGCGGGCATGGGTGCATTAATAGGATACCCACAAGTTCTGCAGGTCTTGCGGAACTTGTCAAACAACAAAGAAAAGCACCAGGAGAAATCCCGGAATGCTTCACCCACTCCCAACCCCAGAGACACCATGGTCGTCAATAGCTATGGACTTCACAGGTCCATTCCCAACAAGCTTGGGATATGATTACCTCTGGGTAATCATTTGTAGGTTGACATCCAACGTCCACCTAATTCCAATAAAGACAACAACGAACGCACTAGAACTAGCATTCGTATTTCTTTGTGAAGTTGTAAGACTCCACGGTCTACCACACTCGATCATATCAGATCGAGACTCAAAATTCATGTCAAAATTTTGGCATGAACTACACCAAATACTTGGTGTGCAGTTGAAATTCACAACTGCATTCCACCCGCAAGGCAACGGCCAAGCAGAAAGAATGATACAAAAGTAGTACAAATACTATGCGCGATGGTTAGACCAGATCAATGCGACTGGGCAGCGAAACTGTCGATGGTGGAATTCACGATCAATGCGAGCTCAAACACATCAACAGGATTTGCCCCGTTCAAATTAATCTACGGCCATATGCCAAAGATGTGCCTAACAGCACCACTCTCGGACTACCCGGGAGTAAATGACTTCGCCCAAAAAGGGAAGGAAAACCTCATGGCAGCACATGACGCGATAATACACAATCATGCTGCCCAAACAATCCAGGCGAATAAGAAAAGATGCCCGGACCCGCCTTTGAGAAAAGGCGAGCTTGCATACTTATCCACGGATAAGCTGAACCTACCCAAAGGAAGGGCAGGAAAACTAAAGCCCTTCTACATAGGGCCTTACGAAATTCTGGAAACATTTCCAGAGACGTCAAACTACGTCCTTAAGTTGCCACCACAACTTGAACAACACGGAATCCACCCAAGATTCCACGTATCCCGGCTCGTACCTCACGAGCCAAATGACCAAGAAATCTTCCCAAATAGGGAAGTAAACATATTCTATGATTTTGGGGAAGACCCCGATCACAAAGCAGTAGTTCGCAAAATCCTAAACCACGTGTGGGTTCACAACGAACTCTGGTTTAAGGTTAAATGGGAACTAGGGGACACCACATGGGAACCCCTAGGAAATTGCAACCACCTCATCCACCTGGACAAGTACCTCACCTTACAAAATGTAAGGGAACCAGAAAAACTCCCTATCAAAGAAGACAGGGAACTCTCGGCATCACTACACCCCCAAAAACGGAGGCAGAGAAAGTAAAGCTGAGGGACGATGGCCCACAGCCAAGAGCGTGGGAAAGTTCTGGGCAAGTAACTCGCCCGGACAGCCACACCATGTACTAGAAATCACATGGGCCAGGCAATTAACTTGCCTAGACCACGTGAACCACAAACTCATGTGCAAAAGAACACACAACTGCGGCGAATCCCACGCACGCAAGAACAAAAACCCCTCCCACCACCACGAGAAACATAACAACGAAATGTCGTTCTCTGGGGAGGCAACCCTTGATTCGATCCAAACAAGCCACCAGACATCGAAATACGACAACCCGGGGAGCAAGGCTCCCTGGAACAACAACAACACCAGGCGCAGAAAAGCGCCATGGACTACACGATGCACGCAGCACAAATGAGTGCCGCAAAACAACAACCATCCGCATTGCTAACAGGCACCGCATACCCCCAGCCTCCTCAGAGGGGCTTCCAACCATACGTGGTGCAAACTGCACCGATGGCGCAACAAGCGCCATTCCAGGGGCAGCATTTGCTGCTGCAGCCCCAGGCATACTCCCCAGGGAACTTCCCTGGCCAGATCAACCCCTGGATTGGCCAATTCGGCCCAGGTCCAACAACACCCCAGCCAAATGCAGGCTGGGAATCAGCCATCGCATCAGCGGTAGCTGCTCAGACAGGTCAGCTCCACGAGGAGCTGAAAGAAATGAAGTCCCTCGTAGGAGGGAGATGAGGGAGCGACAGCGGCTCCTCGTCCAGACCGTCCAAACGGGCACGGTCTGATAACTCGAGGGCGTCAGAAGACGCCTGCGACCATTGCACCCACTGGAGGTGCGAATACAACAGAGCACGAAGAGATGCTGAGGGCATCTTTGACTCTCTGAAAGACACAGAGAGAGATGTCGATCTCCAAAAAAGGGAGATCGAATTACTGAAATGCGAGCTCAGAGAGGCACACGCACTGGCAGACCTCGCTGCCAAACCCATCATGATGGGGGCCTCCCAGGTCAGGGGGAGGGGATATGGTTCTGGGCCTCATGAGGTGCGACCCCACATGGGGACTAGCACATCAAGGGGTGGGGCACCGACTATCCTGCCACCCTGTGGGCAGGCGACCCTGTCCGGGTTGCA